GGCAAAGTTATGCTGCACGGTCAGAAGTTCAGTTAGCGGTTAGGGTGTGCACTAGCATGAGGGCTTCCAGGATATGGGCCTTTTCTTTTTATGCTCTTTTTATTTAAAAAGAAAAAAAAAAAAAAAAAACAGGTTTTTTTTTAATAGCATCCCGCCTCTCCGACTTGCAGTTTCCTGTGCACAGTGTCCCCTCTCCCTGCAGCATTCTCCCCTCCTTGCCCCTGCCACTTGCCAGAATCAGTGTCCCCTCTCCTTACACCATCACTGCCACCACGGTGGCTGTGACAGCAGCACTTTTCCCTCTATGGCTGCCGCTTTTGTGTGTCTCTGCCTGGGATCACTGTAGCTCCTTAAGGGCAAGGGCTGTTTCCAGCTTCCTGTTGGGTCCCCAGAGACTACTTAGGCACAATGTCCGCACAGTACCTACTTGCTCAATGAATGGAAGGCCTTAAGCAATCCCCTGCTAGAAGAAGACAGAGGGAGATAAAGGGGAGAGGAATGGGATAAAGCAACTGCACTGTTGGCAAGTCAGGCCCAGAATCCTTGTCCCCTAATTCACGGGTGTTAGTGCAGAGATAGGTTAAAGCAAACACAGTCTCAAGGGAGGCTGGGCGTTGGTGCTTGTTATGGATAAAGTTGATTATTCAGTGATTATCTGTCTCCTCACTACCATGTGAGCTCAACAGACGTGGAACTGAGTCCTTGTCCCTCTGGTGAGGTTTCAAGGTCCAGGATCCAGGATCTGGAGTGCTCGGCCTGCATACACAGGCCTCCCTCAGTCCTGACAAGGAAAGTGCTGTGTGATTTCCCAGATGGAAAAGGGGTTCTTGGTCCTGTTTCTCCAAGATCAATGCTTTTTTTTTTTAGCCCTAAATTATTAAAATATTTTTAGTTAGTAAAAGCCAAGCTGTTAAGTTTTAGACTAGACTCATTTTAACATTAAACTAAAATTAAGACATCAAATTTCTTTGTGAAGGATCTGGAAGCTTCACCTTCCTGCCTCATGTGGAAAAAGTAAAGACAGAAAAAGAAAGAGGTGGAGTCAGAGCCCTGCCCAGCCCTGCCTGTGTGTGACCTTGAGCGTCACACTTCACTGTTCTTGTGCACAACTGCCTCATCTGTAACAGTTTGTGTGGTGGATTAAATACAATAAAGAACATGGAAAAAATTTCCAAACCACTGAGCCCTCCACACGTTCAACATGGTGGTTTGTTTTATTCTTGTGTAGTTTAGGAGGAGATTATTTCTCATCATCCTGCTCAGGGTCACACAGTTGTAATCCAAGGCAGCCCCAGACCTCCGCCATCACTGTTCTGGTCTCCAGTCTTCAGGGCCATGAACGACATAAGCCGAACTTGCTCAAATTGAGTGTAGTTCTGTCATCAAATAAAATTTACATGGGCTAATCTGACACCTATTTAGCCATCTGAATAATAATTGTTATGCAGCCTGCTGATCAAGCATACCTAGAAAGCATTTGATGTGACTGTATTTAGTATTACTTTTATATAACCTAACCAGATTTTTACAGTTCTTTCCTCTTTGACAGTTCACTTATCTGCTCGGTGATATTTATTGAGGCTGTAATATATGCCAGGCTCTGTTGTAGGCTCTGGGGATACAGTCAACCTCAGAGAACAAAGAGTTGAGAAACATATCCTTCCCATACAATTGAGGGCGTTGTTCTGAATACCCTGGGGCAGCCATGCCAACCGCAATGGATACAGAGTCAGGGTTGGACTGAAGTCAGGCTGGATCTGGCTCTCAATCTTGTAAGGAATGATCTTGGGTACTGCACCCTTTGGAGCCTGTTTCCTTATCCACTGGAAACATGGGAAGAAGAATGCCTACCTCTGGGATGATGAGCACCAGGAAAGCAAGGAACAATTCGGACTTTTCCACCTGTGTCCCCAGTGCCTGGCACAGGCTGGCACATAGTAGGCACTCACAAAATATCTGTCGAAATAATGAAAGAATCCAATCAGAGAATGTGTGTGGATGACTCTGCCAGCCACCATGTATTTATAGTGAGTTACAGTTAGCATCCTTGCCCATGAGGAATATAATCCAGATACCGTTTCTCCACCCCTGCAAGCTCTCCTCCTTTGGCCCTCCACTGACCGTGGCTCCAGGGCACCATTTATCACATGGAACTGAGACAGCCTGACAGATGTGCTGTAGAGAGCTGGACTGGGAGTTGGGGCTTCCGCACTCTTCCCTCTGCTCTCCCTGGTACCTGCCTGGATGTTTCCAGACATTCCCCATTTTTTCCAGAAGGGAAACCTAATTAGTCATTTTTCACAATGGCAAGATTGCTCTGATTCCCGAAGTTAGGAGAGACACCCTTCAAATATCTCTTTCAGATCAAAGAGATATGTTCTATTTGGAATGCAAGCCCCAGGCGGGCAGGAGCTTTCTCTTATTCTTGGCAGCACCTCCAGCACCTTGGACAGTGCCTGGAGCATGGCTGCTACAAAGGAATGCTGTGGACTCCGTGAATGAATGAGTGCTTACTTAACTTTGCAGGGCAGGAGCATGTCTTTCAGGCACGCATCTACCTGACGTACTTGCTATGGGGCCGACATGGAGTAGAAGCTCAATAAACGCCTGCTGAGTCACGCGCAGTGGCCGATAGCGTGACAGGTACAGCCTGCTGACAGCTCACTGCATTCTGAGGTGCACACTCTGTCTGGACCCCTGCAGCCCAGCTGTGCTGAATGACCTCTCCCCTCCTGACTCGCCTGCAGTCCCTCCACTGCTCGCTCGCTCTCTCTCCCTCTCTCTCTCACCTCATAGGCTGCTACATCATTAATCGTGTTTTTCTGGGGTGGGATGGAGAGGAAGCTGACAGTCACCAGACAGTGTTTGGTGGCAGGGAGGACAGAGGAAATCAGAGGGGCAGCCAGATTAATTACAGGTTTTCTCTCAGTTATGGGCAACAAGATCTTGATTACCCCTCCTGACGCTCCAGGCTCCTCAAGACAGATGGATGTGGGCTTCTCCGCTGTTCTCTGACTCCCCCTGGCTGGGAGAAACTCTAAGAAGCAGCCAGCACCTGCCTGGAGAGTGCAGGGGAGGCCAGGGAAGGGGACAGAGGCAGCCCTAAGCCCTGTGGCCTCCTAGAGGTGAGCTTTGGGGCCTAATACATTTGGGTGCACTTGGTAGGTATATAGTTTCCATGGTAATAAGTAGGAGATGGGAGGAAGCTGGACTATCCTGGGAGCTGGGGGCCAGCGTGCCCCCTCACTCTGTCAGGCAACTCTTTGAGCCTCAGTTTCTGATGCTATAAAGTGAGGGAATTAGACTAGATGTTCTCCAAGGTTCTTTTAAGCTCTGAAATTCCACAGTTCTCAGAACTGAATTTTATAATATT